TATTCCACATGTGATTCAGAAGTGCATGGTGGGAAAGCCATCGTCTCTTGTTCTGTACTAGATTAACCAGGAAGCACTACTACATACATGACTATAGAACACAGGACATTAGAGACAGAGTTGCCTCAGTAATTACATCTCACAGATTAACATTGCGTGGCGCAGAGACATCCGTCAAATGGTATCTGATGGCACCCAGCTTAGTGAGGCTTAGTCATTTGCCGTGGTGTGCAGCTGTACTCCCAGAACGAAAGTGACTGTGGCAGGAATATTGTGAATTTGAAGCCTTTCTGAGCTGTCTAAATCCCCACCCCCACAAAAAGAGCAAATAAATTTAGGTTCTTGTAGTTTCTATCTGCTTGTCTGTGTCAGACTTTGTGTTGATGGAATGAAGTACTCAGACTAGTAAGGGGGAAGAAAGTTTTGCTTCCATCCATAGTGTTATTGGTTTCAATCCACTTGTCGTGGCTTATTCTGTTGTTTCCATTCCTATAATAAGGCAGAGCATCATGGTCATGAAAGCATGTGGCAGGGTTCGCTTATTTAATGGCACACCAAAAGACCAGGCAGACCAGAATGTGACTGGAAAACATATGACTATCCAAAGACTGACCTACTTCCTCCAACCCAGATTCTTTGACTTTTCACTTTCCCAATAATGCAAGCAGTTTGCATGCACTGAGGAATTAACCTGCTGAACAGGTCAGGGACTCTAGAATGCAGTCATGTTCCCCAAAGCTGACCACAAAGATGCCAACATATGAGCCTGTGGGGACATTTCATACCCAAACATCACATGGTCTTCTACTTCCTCGTATAAAACTTCAGAACCCTTGACTCATTGATATACCCCTCTCCTACCACAGAAAATTGCTTTTATTGGTCTAGTGCTGACTATACTTCAAATAAGAGGGGCAAATGATGTCTTGTTCTACCGATGACAGAAAGTCACAGTACAAGTGTAATAACTTTGCTCTGTGGAAGGTTGTCGTGTGAATGGAAACCAGTGTTGAGACAGGACGCAAACAGCTCAAGGACCGCAACAACAGAACACATTCCTTGGGAATTCTTTCAAAGCAAAACCTGACACTGCAACAACCAACAGGAATTCTCCAGCTTCATTTCAACTTACAGAATCTGAGTTGAGTAGAATATGTTTGAATGTTACATCAACAACTCCATTGTTTCCCATATAGGGGTTCCAATGAGATCACCTGGACATTGTTTAAATGAAACATTTATTTATTAATTTATTTCAGTTTCAAAGCTGTTGAGTACTTACAGATAACAGTGATCACTGTGTTGCTTAATTTTTGTCAATTGACCCAAGCTAGAGTCCCTTGGGCAGAAGAAACCTCAGGAGAAGAATTTTCTCCATCGGTAAGCATGTTTTTTTGGGGGGCATTTTCTTAATCAATGACCAATGTGGGAGAGCCCAGTCCACTGTGGGTGGTACCATTCCTGGGCAGGCAGTCCCAGGCTGTAGGAGAAACCAAGCTGAGCAAGCCATGCACACACACACACACACACACACACACACACGCATGCACACACACGAGCACATGCACACAGACACACATGCACACACATGTGACGCACATGCACACGCACATGCACACACTCACACTTGCACGCAACACACACACACTTACACACATGCATGCACACACACATGCTCACACGCACATGCACACGCACACACACACGTGCATGCTTCAGGTCCCTGCTAGAGCTCCCACCTGAGTTCCCTCAGAGACGGACTGACATGGAAACGTAAGTCAAGTTCTCCCCTCCCCAAGTTTCTTCTGATCACAACGTATATTACAGCAACAGAACGGACGAGAGTGTCCACAAACCAAGAAACTTCAGGTAGAATCTCTTTGCTGGGTATAATAGCCATGAAGCAGGAACATTTAAATCATGGTCTCCCATATTAACGGGAAGCAGCGTTAAGTTAGTTTCTCAGGGTAGACAAGGCCTTGGTGGGTCAGAACCTTCCATTTCCTTCATCCCCACCGTCCACCTGCTCATTGCGCCCCGTGGTGAGTAGGTCAGCTTTCTGTCACTGTAACAAAAATGCCAGTCTGTGCTTTGCTCCTTGTTTCTCAGCCTGCAGTGAAGAAAAGGCTGCTTGCTTCATGGCGGCCATGAAGAAGGAGCAGAGCAGGGAGACAAAGGAGGCGTGTCCCAGATACACCCTCAATGGCATGCCTCCCACACATCACTTCTTCCAACTTCCCTCCACCTGAAGTTTCCAGTACCTACCAGTTACCCTCTCAAATCACAAGTCCATCCGTGGACACACACACACACACACACATACACACACACACACACACATACACACAACCAGGCCAGAGACTCTTGAACCAATTGTATCCCACCTCTGAACACTGCATTGATTATCAAGCTTTGAAAAATGTCTATTTTATTTGTGTGTGTGTATTTTGTATACATGAATATATTTGTGCAGTGCCCACAGAAGGCAGAAGGCATTGAATCCCCTGGATCTAGAGTTAGAGGCAGTTATGAGCTGCCTAATGTGGTGCTGGGAACTGAACCCTGGTCCTCCAGAAGAGCATTATGTGTCCTTAACCCCTGAGTCATGTCTCCTACTCCAGGTACCAAGACCTCTAGCATGTGAGCCTTCTATGGAGTGACATCTTATATCATAAGGCAAACACAAAGCTAGGTCCTCAGGATCCGTTCCTTTTCTCTATCCCCCTTAGGGTTTGGCAAAGTCATCTTTTTAAATTTATAACCTCTTTGGGCCCCTCCGCCTTTCAACGTGATTGACATTGCTGTGTTCCCAGCACTCATTTCTTTGTCTACTTGTTTCTGGGACACAGAACTCTTTCTTCAACCCAGGTGCAATGCACATCTGCTGTTTCCATGGCTAGCTCCTTGCCATCTGTGTCTCAAATCAATTAACAGCTTCAATGTGTTATATATACATACACATTGAGGCAGAGTCTGACTCTATAGCCCAGGCTGGCTTGGAACTCATATATAGTCAAGGATAGACTTCAACCCTTTCCAATCTTCTCCCTTAGGCTTCCAAACACAGGCTTTAGAGGGTAAGCAGCACACTGCTTTTTTGACTGCCCTATTTCCTTCATGAGAATACTGTAGCGACACACAGGTGCTTTAACTGTCTGTTTGGCTCTGAATCCTGAAACAATGGTTATTACGACACACAGGTGCTTTAACTGTCTGTTTGGCTCTGAATCCTGAAACAATGGTTATTACACACTTGTTCTTCATTTAGTACTGATGAATAAATGGATTCTTAATTGACTTCTCTTAAATGAACTACTAAATATACTGGTGTGTGTGTGTGTGTGTGTGTGTGTGTGTGTGTGTGTGTGTGTGTGTAAGTAGGGTTCAGGCACAGGGAGGCTCTGAATGCCCATGTGGAGGTCAGAGGCCAATAAAGTTGTCTTTCTCTGGGAACTCTCCACTGGGCATTTTGAGGCACAACTAAGCCTGGGGCATGTTGTTTTGCTAGATTAGCTGTCCAGCCAGCCTCAGGGAGCCTTTTCTTTCCCGACAGCGTTGGAGTTAGAGATGTCCTTCACTAAGTCACAACGGAGAATTCTGGAGACCCCAATTCATGCCCCCATATGTTTGCAATGAGCACTTAAACTGCTGACAGAATTTCTATCCGTTCCTGTTGAGGTTATAGCTTGTCAAATGTATGCCAATTAATCAGATTTTGCAAGTCTTAAAATAGTTCGGATGTGGGAGAAAACACACCAGGCATTCGAATGATGGAGGGAGGATTTTCCCTAAAGCAAGCAGGCATCGTGGGGAAGTGCCCATTTTGTTGTTTGTTTGCTCAGGAAGTGAGGACTCAGAGGGTTGGTTCTTCATTTCAAAGTGAAGTCCAAATACTTCGCGGAGCTTGGGAACAGGAAAGCAGACATCCCAAAAAACGAAGGCGATGTGGAAGAAGGAGAGGATCCTGTCTTCTGAGTATTACTTAAAAGAAACTTCCTAGAAAGCCCTTCCTCGGCGTTACTTAATGAACCTACTTTGGGAGCAGTTAGCCCTCCCAACCCCAAATAAAGAGCGTGCCTGGCTCCGCCTAGTTTAGGTTAATTCTGGCTCTGCAAGCTGTGGCTTCTAGACAGGGGTCCGCGCGTTTCTGGGCGGTCCTTTCGATCCCTTTAAAGGTGGGGATCATGACGGAGGATGTGGGGGGAGAAGGCGGGAGGCGAGGGCTGGGGAGTTGCGGTTGACATAGTAACTCTTCAGCTGCTCTCCCTAGCGGCTGCCTCCGAGGCCCCGCCTGTGCGCTCTGCCTGGGAGCCCGGGCCGCCTGTCCGCTCGGTCCAGATGCTCTCAGGTCAAGGTTCCCTGGGCTGTTGCCCCCCAACCCCCTAAGTAGTTACTGCCACCCCGGCAGGCAGGGAAGCCACTGGCAAAGCCCAGCCAGCCAGGCGTCTGCATCCCTTCCCTCATCTTCCCCTCCAGGGCATCGCTTTGCTCTGGGCCAGTTCGGTGCCAGACGAGGCCCCTTCTCCCCAGGTTCCCAACTGCGGGAGCAGGGTGCAGGCCGGCCGGACACTGTGCCATGAGCCAGAGCCCCGGGTTCGCGGCCCGGAGGGGTGGCTCTCCGCTGTCTGCCCCTGGAGCCTGCACGCGGCGCAACGAGAGCCAGGACTATCTGCTGATGGACGAGCTGGGAGACGACAGCTGCCCGCAGCTCCCGCTGCCGCCTTATGGCTACTACCCCAGCTTGTAAGTGCGGGCACGGGCGGCATGGGCCGCAGGAGTGGGTTCCGCGCGCGCGTGTCCCACCAGCGATGTCTCTCCAGACATCCAGACAGCCAGGGGCGCCTGCGCGCGCGTGTGGGACTGGGCTGGCTGCTGCTGAGCACTCAAGGAGTGCGCTCACCCTCAGGATGAGCCTGCGAGGGGGTTCCCTGCTCCACCAAGTGTGGTGGGGTGCCAGGCCACCACAGGGGACCTGATGTCTTGTCATCACAGGAGACTCTTTGTTTGGTCAGTTTATACAGCCCCTGCCACCCTGCAGCGGTGTTCAACAGGCACGATCTGAACTCAGAATGGGTTCCAGTTCTCGCTCCAGGGATTCTGTCTGTGTGGCAGAGATCTGAACTCTCTCGGGGTCTTTGAAGGCACTTTGGGGTAGGAACCGCATACAAGTCTCTCCAGCTCAGTTCTTGTCCTCCAGTCTTGGGCAGGGATTCTTAGAGAGAAAGCAAGTGCGGACGTTCTGAGGCCAGACCTGTCCAGTACACCCTGGCCAGCCTCCTTCTCACGCTGGAGCTGAGATTAAGACTGGGAAAAAGACCCATTCAGGGGTTTGTACCCGTGGCAGGACCCTGGTGAGCCCGTTAGGGGACAGAAAAATAGGGATCAGCTTCTTTTACTAGTGGCCCCTTAATAACCAGGAGCCCTTATTTAAAAGCAACAATCAACAGCCTCCCTCCCAATTCCAGGCTGGTGACAGTGGTGGTGGGGAGGGACAGACAGCAGACAATAGAATGGTAAAACAAAGTCTCCATTCCTCTCTTGTCTTGTGCCCCTCCCCCCGCAGCGCTGTGACCACATGTGCAGCCAGCAGATAGTGTTTCTGGCTCTTTGCACCTTTGCTTAATCTTTGCCTGACTGAGTGCCCAGGTTTCCTGGCCTGTCACAGCCATCTCAGACTGTTTCCCAGGAAAGCCTTTCTCAGTCGGGTGGCCCCTTCTAGTGGAGAAGGGGTTCTAGCCCTTCCTGGGGGCTGGTAGACCCTCACCACAGACACTGGCTTTGGGGCAGTGACCAGGGCTGGATGAGTCAAAGCCTTCTGTCATTTACTTTCACGGTGAGAGCTCAGCCCCAGGAAATGGGGCATCTACATTTTTCTCCAGTATGATGACAAAAGTAGGCAGTGGTTCATTCACCTGAGCTATGCAAGCCAAAAGCATCTATGAAAACCTACCCTCTTTTCATTTCTGAAGTATTATGATATAATTCAGGCAACGTAAAATTCACCTCTCAAGTTGTACAGTACAGCATTGCACATGTAATAGTCGTATTTTGCAGCCACGGTCAATAGCTAATTTCAGGACATTTTTGTCAATATTGTATTTGCTGTCCGATTATAAATCTCCCTCTCTCTCTCCCCCTGCCCTTTCCCTACCCTCTCCCTTCCTCTGTGTGTACAGGGGTGGTATGTTGCTGTGTGCTTGTGTGTGTGTGTCTGTGTGTATGTGTGCACATGTGTGCGTGCGCACACTTTCCCATAGTTGGTACCTGGAGACCAGAGATGGACCTATGGCTTGCTCTCCATATCACTTTTTTGGGGGCAGGGTCCGTCACTGACTTTTTCCTTAGCCTGGCAGACATACTCCACTGAACGGAGTTTTACCTGGGTGCTGAGGCTTCTCAGACTTGTACAGTATTCCCCACTGAGCCATCTCCCAGTCTGGGAAGTTCCATCTCCTAAGACAGACAGACTTCTCACAGTTTGGTGGGCATATGACCGCCCAGAGGTTTTGCTAAGACTACAGTTCCTCAAGTCTTAGGCGAAACTGAAAAGTCTGCATTTCTAAGTCTCTGGTGATGCTATATTTGCTTGTTTACAGAGTACACACTAAAAGCAAGAAGATGCATGCCAAGATAACAAAGTTATAGAAAGTGCTGCCATTCTGAACATAGCTGTTCGCAAATTTGCTTTGAAGCCGGGTTAGGTGGTACACGTCTATGATCTTAGTTACTTCAAGGCTTCAAGTTTGAAGCCAGTCTGGGCAGCATAGGAAGATGCTGTTTCTCACTAAGTTCTAATGCTATTTAGTAACATTACCTGTTGGTTAAATTAAGTGATATGATAACTATATGCATCTTCAAAAAATTAGATGGTCTCATTAACTAAACATTTTTATTTTACAATCTCTATTTTAATTGATTTCTTTGTTTTAAGGGAAAGTGATTTGCTTTATATTTTATGGTTCTATTATCATCAGTGAGATTAAATAAAGTAAGAATTCCAAGTTGCTCAGACACTTTTCCAATGTGGTTTATTGTGCAAATCATGAAGTTCTTTAAATTGCCATTATATAGTAATTTATATGCAATTATATATTTAGCTAGAAATATGCTATTTAGATCAAAAGTTCTTTTCTTCTTCAGTTAGAAATCCCAATGAGGACAGGCAAAAGGCAGGATGCAGGGAAACATGGCAACTGGCTTCCGTTGATGACAACACCACTTGTTGAGTCACTCTGGGATGGACCACGCGCCAGAATTAAAGCTGACCTCCTGCAAGGCTACTATTTCCCAAAGACTTCGGGGTTATTTTCATCCAGTGTGTTCTCTGGTAAAGTTTTTAAATTTTACAGTTGTATAAAATGATGTAGGAGGAAATGCCAAGAGAAATGACCTCCCTTTGGTACAGAGTACAAATGATCACCTCATGAACTTGTGACGGGAGTGATTTTTTGTTTCCTTTTCCAGAGTGTAATGGGCAATGGTGTAATTGTGGCAGTCCCTGGTATGGTACAGGATGGGTATTTTCTCAAATCTCTGAGATTCCCCCTGGAAGTCCAGAGTTTTGTTAAGTGGCCGTTTCTGTGATATAAATTCACCCACTCTCACTAAGAAATTCTCTTTAAAAACTCTTCTTTAAAAGAATGTTTTTACATGGATTGTGGGAAATTATCTCATGGAAGTGAGATAATTATCTCAATCTCAGGTCTTGGTAAGTGTAAGTGTGGATATTTTAAGGTAATTCCTTTAGAAAGATTCACAATTTTATGTTTGTCTAACTTTCAATTAGAAAGCATATGCTATATTCTATTATAATCAATTTTGAATGATGGATAACAAGACAGTCCCATACCCTGCCAAACCCTGGGAATTCCTTTATTTACAGAATGTCTCTAGTCTGTGACTCTGAGCATGAGGGAGACTCTCAGACATGTACACACATTTTAAAGGTTTCCAAAGACATAGAGATTGGTTGATTTAGTTCCATTGATCATTGAGTAATAAACTATTGAATTGTTACTTATTACTATTCAGATTGTGAATAAGGGCATGGTTTGACAAACTAAAGCTACAGGCAACCTGACTAAGTGAGTCTAAAGCAACAGCAAAAACTTATGGTAGCACAGGGTAGGGAGGCTCAGTGAGTAAGGGCACTTGTCTCCAAGTTTGATGCCAGGATCCATGCTGTGTGTGTGTGTGGGGGGGGTGAAATGACTCAGAAAGATGTCCTCTGACTTCTGTATGTGTGATGTGGAGTACATGAACCCCCAAGAAATAAATGTAAAATTACCCTGTGGTAGGCAGCACAATAATACATTTTCAAATATCTGAAAAACATTACTAATGTGGTGGCTGGGGAATAGCTCCATGGTAAGATGCTCACCACCATGCCCAAGGTCCTGGATTTGTTCAAAAGTACCATGAGAGAAAGCAATAATACTGCTTAAATTGCTGAAAAATGAGAAGTGATTGCTATGAGTCAGGAACAAAGATGCTAGAGAGAATATAATGTGGGAAAAGTCTCACGTGCAAATGAGGCAGGGAACTAGAGTTGAGAAATATCTTGAACGAAACCAGAACTTGTCATAACACTGAGAAGTTAGGCTAAAAATGATGGCCACCAGCACAGAGCTGGGGCAATGCCAGGGAGAAGACAAGGCTCCCTAGGAATTTCAACTGAAGGCCTTACATGCCATGTGAGCTCTTACTTTTTGTATGCCAAGCTGACTCAGAGATCCTCAAGCCTTGGGCTCTTAATACAGCAAAACACTAAAGAATAAAGAAAGAAGCTTCCTGTTCATGTTGACTAGTCAGGAGATTCATCCAAGATCAAGCCTGCTAAAAATAGACTCACTGCAGCCAGTGACCAAGCACACAGGAAATAGTTAACTGGGAGAGAGTGAGCTAACAGCAGAATTCACTAAGCAGCAAACATGATGGCAGCCTGAGGTCCTTAGGAACTTAGAGTAGCAGCTTCATTAGGGGGAAGGTGTAAAATGGTATGTATAAAATGTCACAGTGAAAACCTTACGGAAAGAGAGAGGGAAAACCTTAAGGAAAGAGAGAGGGAAAACCTTACGGAAAGAGAGAGGCTCAAAAGAAGGGGGCAGGGGGTAAATGTGGTCGGAGACAGGGACAGGGACAGGACATTTACAAAACAGCCACAGACAGAACATGCAAAAAGGAAAGCAATGCAGTTACATTTTTAAAAGTTTTTAAAATAACAATTGTTGATTCATTTTGTGTATGCATATACACAAAATATACATATGGATATACCCATAAAAGAAAACAATGCAATTCTATTTCAGAAGTTAGTTACAATTTTTTTGTGAGTGTGTATATATGTGTGTGTATGTGTATATGTGTGTGTGAGTGTGTATGTGTGTGAGTGTATGTGTGTGAGTATGTATGTGTGTGTCAGTGTGTGTATGTATGTGAGTGCGTATGTGTGAGTGTGTGTGCATATGTGAGTGTGTGTATGTGTGAGTGTATATGTGTGTATATGTGTGCGTGTGTGTATGTGTGAGTGTGTATGTGTATGTGTGAATGAGTGTGTATGAGTGAGTGTGAATGTGTATTGTGAGTGTGTATGTGTGTGAATGAGTATGTGAGTGTGTGTATGTGAGTGTGTATGAATGAGTGTGAGTGTGTATGTGTGAGTATGTATGTGTGTATGTGTGTGTGAGTGAGTATGTGAGTGTGTGTATGAGTGAGTGTGAGTGTGTATGTGAGTGTGTTTGTATGAGTGTGTATGTGTATGTGTGAGTGTGTATGTGAGTGTATATGAGTGAGTGTGAGTGTGTATATGTGAGTGTGTGTGTGTGTGTGAGTGTGTATGGGGGTGGTCACAGGACAATTCCTTGGAGTGAGTTCTTACCTTCCACCATGTGGATCCCAGGGCTTGGACTCAAATTGTCAGGCTTGACAGCAGCTGCCTTAACCCACAGACCTACATTACTGCTCTTCCCAACCCCAATACTGTAACACTTGATGAAAAAATACTAAGTGGAAGGAATATAATGCAGATTGTCCATAACATAACTGATGCTAATATTCAAAATTTAGAGACACAACAGGCAGATATCTGTGATTTTGAGGACAGCCAGGACTACAGCCTGACTTTGAAAAAACAAACAAACAAGCAAACAAAAAAACAAAAAAGGAAAAAATTCAGAGACACAAATAAATAGGTAAAATAGAGATTTATTTTATGCATGTCAGTGTTTTGCCTGCATGTATGTCTGTGGGAGAGTGTTGGATCCCCTGGAACTGGGTTATAGACAGTTGTGACTTGCCACATGGGTGCTGGGAAGTGAGTCTGGGTGCTTGAGAAAAACATCTGGTTACTCAACCACTGAGCCGTGTCTCCAAACCCCTAAGTAGACTTTATTAGGACTCATAGAACAAGAGGGTAGGTGTTCCATCAGAAGAAAATAACAAGAACAAGGAAGGAACCACCAATATTCCAATACATAATGGGCAATGGTTTCCGGAGATGTCAAAATGGTCATGAAGTACAATATTAGCAAGGACACAAAGCAGACAAATAAAACTGTCCTTTCTATTGCAAAATGCCCATGACAGACAAAAGGAAATTAAACTTAAAAGCTAATGAAAATACTTGAAGTGAGTTTAAATTTTAAAATATTTACAATGGAAATTCTCCCACAATGTGTTTTGATTCCTAGGTGATGTGTGGCTTGTGAGAATCATGTTTTTGTTTTTGTTTTTTTCCACATAAAAGATATCATTTGCACTCCACTTGTGAACACAACATTTCATGCAGTTAGTGTTCAACGCTGACAGAATCTTTTAGAACATAATTATGTACAAAATATTTTTAAAGGGGTAACATCACTGATTCTCAACTTTAGGAAAAATCCCAAGAGATTCTGTGGTGTGTATGTGTGGGTGGTGTGTGTGTGTGTGTGTGGTATGTGTGTGTGGTGTGTGTGTGTGGTGTGTGTGGTGTGTGTGTGGTGTGGGTGGTGTGTGGGTGGTGTATGTGTGGGTGGTGTGTGTGTGCTGTGTGTGCTGTGTGTGTGGTGTGTGTGGTGTATGTGTGGTGGGTGTGGTGTGTGTGTATTATATGTGTGGTGTGTGTGTGGCATATGTGTCGTGAATGTGTGGTGTGTGTGGGGTATGTGTGGTGTATGCTGTGTGTGTTATGTGTGTGTTACGTGTGTGGTGTGTGTGTGTGGGGAGTGTATGTGTGGGTAGTGTATGCGTGGTGCCTGAGTGTGACTGCAGATTCACACGTGGTCCCTGTACCTGACTGCAGACTTGTCAAGGGTGCATGTGGAGGACAGAGCAGGGCCCTGAGTGTCTTTTTCTTACTGACTCTCACAGGCTGCTCTCTGACTCATATGCTTGTCTTTTAGTCAGCTGGCTAGTTAGTGAGCTCTTGGGATCAGCCTGTCTTCACCTCCTGATGTTGAGCTTACAGGTTCATGCAATCATACCTGGTTTGGTTTTTTTTTCCTTGGGTTCTGGGGATCTGAATTCAGAGCCTCATATTTGAAGAATAAGCACTATACTCACTGAGCCATCTCTGTAACCCCCAAAGAGATATTTACTTATATTTTCTATCTCCTATTAGGGAGAAAAATATAGGTAGTGTTTGAATTCAGTGAGAATCCTAATATCTGTTAAATCTTTTGAAATGACATCAGTAACACTAGAGTCAAATCCTGAACTTAAAAGCAGGCAAATTTAGATTATCTATCCATGAAAAATATAATTTCTTTTTTATTTCTGAGAGAGTTTTACTGGGTTGTCCAGGCTAACACTGAACTCACAATGTAGAGTAGGTTGAAATCTCTTCTTCGACCTGCTGAGTTCTGAAATTACAGTTGTGTACCACCATATCTGGCTGAAAAATATAATTCTTGAAGAAAAAACCCTAATGGAACAATTAAAAATGCAGTTTGTATTTAACCTGATAATACCCCAAATACAGATATAAAAATATTGATGAATATCAACCACTGTTTAATGGTGAAAGTATACTTTCGAAGCTGCGTCTCAAGGGAAAGCTGGTGTGGAAATCACTGCTGGTTTTGGTTTGCCAGACTCATTTAGAATCTCCACGCCCCAGCCATTACAGTACAGGTTGTCTCACTTTTGACCTCATCATAACAGACACACTTGTTTCAAAACTTCCCATTGCTTGAAGAAATCAGTAACCACTGGGAGACCTGATTGTTGTGAAACATGTCTTTGCGGTGCCAACACTGTGGGATGAATGATCCTCGGATGTGCTTAAAGGTTCACACTCATTCTGTTTAGAGTGTCGCTTACTTCTAAGAAGACAGTGCATCATTTTTC